TGTGGTTAATGGAGAATATTTTAAGAACATTTCGATAAACTATGTATTTGTAATAATTTCTTAATATTGGCCTGGTACACAACATGGTTTTGGCCAATAAAGAAAATAACGGAAATTTCTTGATACAGTTTATTTATCTGTTTTTTTGTTTTTGTTTTGTTTTTTACTGTGTGATATATTAAAAGTGTGTGATATATCGTCATTGTGCGTTAACAATATGAATAATTTATAGTTGAAAGCTTTTTCATATATAGTTTTTAAGAAAATTGCCCATGTAAAGTATTCATTTTGAGGGACTCAAGTTAAAACCAACAAAGGTTAATTGCATTCTAGTTTACTCTCGCACCTGCTGCCCGTGGGGCGTATGGAGCATTTTTGTCCCTTGCGACTATCCGTACCAAGGCACCGGAAGTGAGGCAGCGCGGTTGGTAATGTTTGAGGGAGTATTTCGCGGGAGTTTATCTGCAGACGGCTACTTGTCAACACTGACGATACATTTCAAAGCACACTTTTTTACACAATGAGTTTGTGGCTTGATAAATACCGACCGACGTCCCTTGGAAAGCTGGACTATCACAAGGAACAAGCGGCTGAGTTAAAAAACCTGGTAAAGCAGCTAACTGTTATCCTGAGGCTAGCTTTAGCATCAAGCTACTATAAAAGCACATCAAATATCCTCTTAGGTTGGTCAGGGTTCACTTTCATTTATGAAATATTGGTGGAATTTAATTTTTGTCTAATATTCTTATTTCCCCCGTGATTTGTTCAGGTCTTTAAAGTTTTAAAGCTATTAACCAGATTTCTCAGCTAAATCAGTCAAGCTTACTTTATATCTAATATGTTAGCATTATGTCATGCTCAGTTGCTCAGTTTAATTTGTTTATGTTAGTTTTCAACTCAAGAATTTTTTTTTTATGTGAGAGGCTCATTATCATTTTTTGCTTCATTATCTATCTGCGTATTTTTTTGTTGTTGTAAATTATATAGGAAGAGTTCCTTTGCAAAAACAGAAAAAAGTATGTTCTTTTTGAAAATTTATAAAAACAGAGTTTTCTGTTTTTTGTAAATGAACTCTTCATATGTACAACTGAATAAAATGTTTTTAGCATTAATTCTACTTTTTTAATCAAATAAATTTTAGAAATTGCTGTTAATATGTATGTTTAACATGATATGTAATTATTTCTTTAAATACTTTATACAATTATTGTTAAAATAATAAAGTGTAAAAGTCACCTGAAGGTTTAGAAGCTCAGTTTGATGCCATGGATGTGGTCTCTGTCTGCATAGTTTCTGATTCATTAAAAGATAGTTTACCAGCAGAAACAAATCATTCTCTCTGTTTATTTGTTCCAGGTTCAATGCGGCGACTTTCCTCACTTATTGGTCTACGGACCATCAGGAGCGGGGAAGAAGACCCGCATTATGTGTTTGCTGAGAGAGCTGTACGGACCAGGAGTGGAGAAGCTTCGCATAGAGCATCAGACCGTTGTGGTGAGAGGAGGAGGAAGCAAACAAACAAAAACAGAATAACAAAAGCTTATTATCTTTCAAAATATACAGTAGATGTTCTAGTCTTAAGAGCATGGAAGTGTTGGTAACATCCAAATGTACTGATCTGGTGCTGTGATATAATTCTTTCGGTAGTATTTAGGAATATCCAAAATATCCATTATTGGCCATAAAGGCAATATGTTTTAGTGTTGATGATGATCAGTCCTTTCAGCTGCTTCCCTATCCTGATGCAACTAGGAATCAAACCAGGGTCCCCAACATCACAGTCGGACTGTACAACATATTAAATGTTAATATCTGCCAAAGTGTTCATATGTTTATCATTAATCCTTAATATATTTAATGTAATCCTCTGGTCCTGATCATCTTACGTGTTCAACAGCATGCTTCAAAATGATGCGGGGCGAAAAAATACATTCCAGCTTTTAAAACCGAGATAAACATGTATATTTGTAATGTTTGTGAAGTCCCCACATATGTTACTATTTAAAATGGGTAAAAAAGAGGTCTGATGGATACCGTTCAACAAAAGAAGGAAGTCAATGTGCACAGCTATGAAGAAACACTACACTGTTCAGATAACCAGCACTGTAGTTTCTAAGGTTTAATATGGACAAAAATAGTGAGTTTTAACTGGATACTCTTCTCTAACCTCTCTCTGTTTTTTTGCTTCAGGCTCCATCAAAGAAGAAAATTGAGATCAACACAATAGCTAGCAACTATCACTTAGAGGTCAACCCAAGGTAACATGAAATTGCATATGGTTTAAGTTTTCTCCAGGTGATATTTCTTTTCAAAGCCTTCCTGCTCCAACTTTATAATTTCCCGTGAATATGAAATAAGCAATTAGAGCAGCCTTAACATTGTGTAAAGCATTTTATCTGCATGTTGTTTAGTGATGCAGGAAACCAGGACCGTGTGGTGATTCAGGAGCTGATTAAAACTATGGCCCAGTCCCAGCAGATCCAGTCTAGCACCCAGAAAGAGTTCAAAGGTAGAGAGAGGACAAACATGGCTTTGCTGGTTTACTCTAAGGACAGCCGTTTATGTTACAGAATAACACAAATGACCACTAATAGAATGTTTTTATTGCCTTTGGAAAAGCCTGTCCTAAAGTATGTTTTTTTTTTTCCCTTCCAGTGGTGCTTCTAACAGAGGTAGACAGACTCACTAAAGATGCCCAGCATGCTTTGCGTCGCACAATGGAAAAGTATATGAGCACTTGCCGCCTCATCCTCTGCTCCACGTCCACCTCTAAAGTCATCGGACCGATCCAGAGCCGATGTCTGGCTATCAGAGTTCCTCTTCCGAGCACAGAGGAGGTAAAAACGAGCTTAGGGGGGAAAAAAAGGTCATTGTAGATAATATCTGCTCTTTACCAGGAGTTGAATATTTAGATTTCACCTGAAACACTTTATTATAAAACGTTGAAACCAAAATGGAGGTTTTGTCTAAAACTGTGAGCACATGACAAACAAGAAATATGTATTTTTAAAACATTTTTTTTTTTGTGGAAAAAAAATGCTTCACTTGACGTGATGTTCCAAAAAATATCAGCAACCTGTAGTACTGTAATATAATGTTTTATTAGCTGGACTGGAGTAAAAAAAAATGGCTCTTTGGCTTGTAAAGGTTGCAGAGTCATTTTGAACTATGTTTGAAAACCGAACATATTTTCTAGAATATGACTTTTACAAACAAGTTTTAAAGATGTGATCACTGTTACAACTTGGACTTCTCTTTCCCCTTTAAACCCCATAGAAGCAGTGGGGTATACTTAGTCACAGATTGATCATTTATATTTGATCAATAATCACATCTGTAATCTGATGTGCTTTTGAAATCTTGTGATTAGATATTTGCCGTTAAATGTATTATATTACATTATTTTGCAAGTCCATTCTTTTTCCGAGTAATCGATAGTAATGGGATAGTAAAAGGTTCCTCAAAGAAGACTTTTTATGAAATTAAATCAGGTGAAACTTTTTCACTTGAGAGGTTCTGGATAGAACATATTGACAGATGGAATCATTGTTTTTATGCAAATCCAAAATGTGTTTATAGATATGTATATATATGTATATGTTATTACAATCTTCATATAATAACTGCTCTAAGTGTGTTGCTCTGTCAGCTATAGGCATGTTTTAGTCTTTATACACCTGTTAAAAAGTAATCGATTACTAAATTAGTTGACGATTGTTTCAATAATTGATGCATTTTTTTAGCTCTAAAATATATGTTACTTCAGCTCCAAGGCTGACTGCGATATTTTCCCCTTTCAGGTGTGCAGCGTTCTAACATCAGTCTGTAAGAAGGAAGGGCTGCTGCTGCCGCCTGAGCTCGCCAAGAAGATCAGCGACAAGTCGGGTCGCAACCTCCGCAGAGCGCTTTTGATGTGCGAGGCGTGCAGAGTGCAGCAGTGAGTTAGGACCCTGTCCCGATGCTGTGCTCCAATATGTAAACAAACGTATATGCTTACACGGCGTAATCTCCTGCAGGTATCCATTCTCAGCAGATCAGGAAGTACCAGAACCGGACTGGGAGGTCTACCTGAGAGAAACGGCTAATGCGGTCGTCAGCCAGCAGAGTCCTCAGAGGTATGATTGGAAATTTGCAGGTGTAGGTGGATATATAGCTGGGATTAGGAAGACCTGAGTCTGAAAATGAGAGGTTTAAAGGGCCTCCATCTCTGTTTCAGGTTGCTAGAGGTACGAGCCAGGCTGTACGAGCTACTGACACACTGCATCCCTCCTGATGTCATCATAAAGGTCAAATTATGTTTAATTCCTCTTCCCTTATCACAACATTTCAAAGCAACTTTATATAATTCTCAAATAACTTTTTTTACCCCTTGCCTTCATTGAACAGGGTTTAGTGGAAGAACTGCTGAATAACTGCGATGGGCAGCTGAAAACAGAGGTGGCTCACCTGGCTGCTTATTATGAGCACAGACTCCAACTGGGCAGCAAAGCCATCTACCACCTGGAGGCGTTTATAGCCAAGTTTATGGCCATGTACAAGAAATTCATGGAGGACGGCCTGGATGCGATGATGTTCTGATGTGTTCAAGAGACTTCCTTACATCAAATGGGACAATTTATAGTAGCTTGGGTTGATTTAACCACTGAGCTTGTGTTAAAAAAAAAACAGTTAATGTAAAAGCAGCAAGAGTAATACATCAGCTTGTTAATAATGTGCAGTCTGCCTTTTTATTAATGTTACAAAAGGTACAGCTTCAATTAACTGTATGGATGTTTAAGCTCTAATAAAAACAAAGATACATTTCTCTGGAAGAAATTTTTGCACCGCAAGTTTTCTTAAAATAGGCTCTTTTTTTTTCTTGAATTGAGCAGGTAAGAGACATTTTGCCAATGGAATAAGATGATTTACATTAATAATTAGATATTACTCATTTTAAATAAGACACTGCAGTTTTATTTAATGGCTAGAAATACTCCATTGGCAAAATGTCTGACTTTCGCAATTAAGAGTGAATACTTATTTAAAGAGAATTTTACTCATTTTTAGATCATATTAGGATAAACATCTATAATGATGTGAAAACGATGTTTGATGCCTTCACCCATATGTTGAAAACGGATATAAAACCAGCTAAGAGCAACCCACTGTTTAAGAAAGCTGTAAAAAAAAAAAAAAATAGTTTTAAGACATAAGGGTGCAAGAAGATAAGGGTTCAAAGTAAGTTACCATAAAGACAGTGAAAGTGGCAGCTTTATGTAGGGATGCTTTTCCTCAGAGACAGGAAGACTTCAGAGTTAACAGGATGGATTCATCTAAATGCTGGTAGAAAAAGTTAACCTTCCAGCGAACATGTTAGTTTAAAAGCACCTAATTATCCCCCATCTAACAAAAACTACTTTATCACTTTCCACATTTTCTTATTTGTTTCTATATCAAAATCCTACTCATGAATAAATATTTGTCAGGGAATAATTGTTGCTTCTCTGCTTCATTTGAAAAACACTACAGATGTTATATAATAACACCATGAAACTGATGTTTTTATTTGGTGATAAAGTGAGGATTATAAGAGGGCCACTGCCCACAAAACAGAACCAAACGCTCTAATTTCACATGTTAGAATGATGTGTACCGTCACGTTTCACATACTGATGGTCGTTAGTCATGTTTTTTTGTTTCTAAGAGGTGGAATTAATCTACTTCTCGTAACACTGTTTTAATATAGTTGATTACAAAGCCAATAAATAATAAAGGATGCTCTAACTTAATTGTTTATCACTAGTAGTGACCCTGGACATTCATACGGCCGTTAATGTGCAGCAACACAGTCTTCATCTTCTCAGTAATACTCCTTTTGTCTCTTGGTGCTATAATAAATGATGAGGCCCAGCATGATCAGCACTCCTGAACCCACTAGAGACATGAAGCCTATGACAGGCCACCTGATGAGGAGGTGGCATCCTGGGCAGGGCTGCGGCAGAGCTGGACACTGCTGTGGAGGAGCTCCTGGGATAGGGAAGCCGTTGTGCTGGATGATGTTCCGATAGTTGGAGAGAGAAGCCTTGACGATGACCTCCTCGTGAACCTGACCGTAGAGGCCAAACCCCAGGTCCCTTTGGTCGTTCAGGGCGTAGGCAAAGTACCCCTTCAGGTTGACACCATCCAGAGTAAACGCTGTTAAGTAGGAGAAAGCTTTCAGTGTATCTTCCCATCAACCTGTCCATCATATTAAATTAGTTCAGGGTGTAGTGTAGAGGGTGCCATCTAGTGGCTCTTTAATTTCAGGATATTTTTTGTACTATATATTGTTTGAAATATTCCATTAATTGATATTTTGTCAAGTTACAACCACAAATTTTGTGTTTTTGTTGGGATTTTATGTTTTCCTGACTGGAAAAGGGAAGGAAACCAGTTCCTTTGTTGCATAAATGTTTTAACAAATAAAAAGCCTAATAGTGCATAATAAATAAAACCACTTTAATTAAAATTAGATTAGTTAACGAACCGCTTTTATCAATCATCTGATCTATGAAATTGTGTTTGTATAGATTCAGCTGTTTTGTTTAAAACCTCAGGGTTTTGTTGAAAACTGGTCAAGAAACAAGTTTAGGAAGAAGCAGTTACAAAATCACTCAAATCTAAAAACCACTTCATCAGGCCTACCTTTAAGTGCTTCATTAATATAGTTGTACAGATAATAAACTCGCAGGGAGTCTTTGAAACGGGCGGGGTCTTCCTCCACTCCATTAGCCATTATGTAGATGGGGACGTCTCCATAGTGCTGCTTCACCTTCAAACAGGACGAGCAGCTTTAACGATTTGGAACATCATTTGAACATTGTTCTCCTCTGAAGGCACCGCATGAAGAAAGGCCCCACAGTCTTACCCAGTTTAGAGCTTTCCTCAGGCCCCAGGGAACGACGGGCAAAGGTGACATGATCCACGTGGTGTCTATCATGCGCTGGACCTCGAGCATCTCCGTGTAGGTGTATCTGCTCACATGGAGGTCACACAGAGGTGAAACAGGCTTTTGGTTTATTGAAAGCTGAAGGTTTTATGATCTGAGTGAATTCTTTGGACAAAATGTTAATAATGGGAGAACAAAAAGGTTTTAACGTACGAGTCTTCCTTAGCGTGAGTCACAAGCTCGGTGCTGAAGTGACTCATTGCAAAAAAGTCATATGTCCCCATGACCAGCTGTCGGTCCTCCTCGTTGAAAACAGGCAATCTGTGGAAATTACAAGGGATGCCATCAAGTTCAAGAAAAGACAAAACTAATACAGGTTGTTTCTCTTCCTGTACTGTAACGTTGCCTTTAGAGCATGCGTCAGTAACCTCTGGCTCCAGGGCCATAAATGGCTCTTTAGACACTTAACAATGGCTCTTCTTCACTTTAACTAAATATTAAATA